TACCCCATCCTTCCCACTCGCTGGCTCCTCTCTCCATTAAACCCCCTGAATTTTTAATAAATTATCAACATGCTTTCTCGTCCATCTGCTGGCGCCAGACGTCAGCATTGGCCGCCTTCTTCATTTTCTTTGTGGCCCCAGAGACCTCAGTGTTTGATTAATCTTTTAGGTCCCTCCCACTTACTGTCTGGGCTGAGACTCCTCTAGGTAGGCAGCTTTAAGGATTTTTCTCAGCCTCAAGTCAATATTATAAGTCTCTAGTGCCTGTCACTGAGCGGGCTGTGGATCAGGCCTTGGATAGCAGGTGACTCCTGTGTGGGACTGACGACTGTATGCCTAATGCTGCTTGCTCTGTACTAGGAAGCGCATGGGACAATAGGAATCAGTACCAGCTAAGGAATCATGGTCTGGCTTCCTCCATCTCATGCATGAACCAGGTATGTCCTTTGGAGAAGGGAGTTCTGAGCCTTGGTTTACCTTTCTGCAGAGGCTGCTGTGAATATCAAACAGATGAAGGCTGAGTCCAGACCCTTTGGGCTACAGCAGAGGCAGGAAAGCTTGGGGAGGATATTAGCCTGAGAGTATGAAACACCACCATGCCCTCCCCCCTCTGTGGGCCTATGCATGACAGCAGAGCTCCTCAGCTTTCCAGTATGACCCCAGGCAAGGCCTGTGTCCTACCCCTTTGGAGATAGGAGTTTCCAGGCCCCGGAGAATACCACCTAGGTTCCAGCTGCTGCTTGCTGTTTTGTTTGCCGTTTCCAGACCCCTCCCTTTTCTACTCTGTGAGCTTGCATCTCTAGTCAATACATACTACACTTCCCTTAGAGGCTGGTTCAGCTAGTTTCTGCTCACATTTCCTTGGCACTTGCCAAATGCTTTGTGTGCATGAGCCACAGTCTTCCCCGCAAGCCTGTAAAAGCTTGTCCTTCTGTGACAGGAGCCTTGTCCACATTTTTCAGGTGACAATATTGAAGCTTAGAGGAGGTAAATGGCATATTCTAAGGCTCACAACCAGCTTTTAACAAATCCATATTTGAATCTAGGCATCCAGGCCCCGGTTCATCTCATCAACATTGATGGCACAGTCCTTGACCTCTGTCCCTTCTCTTGCCTCTCTCACTGCCTCTTAGCCACTCTCAGTACCCATGGAGATGCCTACCAAAGACACCTATCCAATAAGAGAAAGATCCAGTTAGGCACAGCCGGAGTCACCTGTATATTTGGACTGATATTAGTAATCATGTGAACATTTGCCTCAAACCTTTTGCTACCTGTCATAATGATCAATGAGGGAGATTCGCAAGTTAGGAGTTTCCATCTCCATTGTGTGGGTGAAGAATCTAACTGCTGAGGAAATCACAGTCACAAGTAAGTAACCCTGTGGCATAGCTGGACCTCAGGTACAAAGAGAGTTTATAGCATCCGGATCAAATGGCTTGTCCATACTGAAGGCAGGGGATACCACAGCTTCTGTTCCTGTACCTAGATCTTTGTTGGGGAAGAGTTTGGACTAACCCTGCTTCATAGAGGAGCAGGCAGCAGCCTGCAGAGGTGGGCAATTTTCTTAAGGTCTCATACTGGCAGGTGCTGTCCAGAGTCCCAGCTGATGAGTCTGGGGGCTTCTCTACCCTATTTTTTAGCCATCCTCACCTTACCCTATGGGATCCAATATGTTTTCAATGGCATCTTCTTCACACTTCAGGCAGTTAGCCTCTGCCTCTGTGCACAGGCTTCTGGGTCACTGTGCACTGAAATGCCTCTCTCTCTAGCTGGCATCTCAGAGGCAAAATAGTGATCTCTAATCAAGTGGCAACTCCAAAGACCACCATTCTTCCTCAGCTTCTCCCAAATAACTCAAATCATGGAAACTGAGCCATGACTACAGATGATCTCCAAACACCTCCCCGCCATGGCAGAGCCACAACAGCCAGATATCCTAGCAGTGGTGGCATCCAGTGTCTCCATTGTCTCCCATTCTGAGGGGGAGCAGGTGGATACACTTAAGATCTCTGACCTTACCTCCCTTTCCATAGATAATTTGTCCAGCCCACTCCCTGGTCTTGGCTCATTCTTCCTAGAGTATTTATTGCTGCCACCCCACTGCCTGGGTCTCTCTCCAAGACCCTTCATGTCCTCACCGATCCTGTAATCTACCAAGCAAGGACCCCAATACCACCATTCCCCCAACCCTTCACCATGGCTCCTAATTAAAGTTGGGGCTCTGCCCAAAGACAGATAAGTCCAGATTTTTCTCAGTAGAGGCTGTTCCCAAGCATTTCCCTTTTTAATAATAGTTTCTAATGCCCAGCAAATCATCCCTGATTAAACTGAGTGGCTTAAAACAACAGAAGTCATGGACCATCTTCATTGGGTCTGTGGATCAGGAATTGGGAGCATCTTGGCTGGGCGGTGTTGGCTTAGCATCCCTCATTAGGCCTCAGTCATCAGTCTGTTGTAGTTGTTCATTGAAAGCCTGGCTGGAGTAAGTGGACCCACTTATCATGTAGTCCATTCATATGACTGGCTAGCTGGTAGAGGTGAGGGTAGGGGGCCTCAGCCACTATGAGGATGTCTATCTACAGGGATGTCTGAGTGTCTTCATGGCATGACAGCTGGCTCCTCTCTCTGTGGCCATGGAAGAGGCTACAGGGCTTTCATAAAGCCACACAGTGTCACATTCACCATATCCTACTAGTTATATAAGGATTCAGAGAAGGAGGGGACTCCAAAAGAACATAAAAACTTGCTGGTGAGACTCCATGAAAGCTATCTAGAAGGCTGCCACATGTCTGAGAACCATAAATGATTGAGTCTTCTGCTGCCTTGGGCATGCATGTCCTTACTTTCTTCTTTAGAAAAGGGAATCTAGTATGTATACCTCTACTTGTGGGGATGCCAACATGGATGGAGCTATGGTTCTTCCCTGGATGAGCTTGGTAAAGTTGGGGATTCAGTCTCATCATGAGAAGTTCCAGAAGAGACATCTTCTAAATGTCCAAACTGTGAGAGTATAAACAACAGGTCATTTGCCTATTGGAAACTATGGGATGTTTTCCCAACAAAGGGACACTGAGTCTTGAAGGATGGCTAAGAGCTCCTTGAGTGGTAACAAAAGGGAGGACATTGCTCCATGTGGCATGAGCGATAGCAGAGAGCTGGAGAGCTTGTGAGACTATGGTTATGTAGATGGACTTTATACTCCAGGGGCCCTTGAGGGTTTTGAGCCAGAGTAGGGCCTGGCAGAGTCCTGTGGGATGGGACTGGAAGGAAGACTACAGAGGAAGGAGCTGTGCTACAACCTGCATGGCTTGGGGATTGACCTAACTGGTTCACTAGAGGATGAAGAAATGATGGAGTGTATACAGAAAAGCTGGGATCAGGTGGGCTGTGGCTCTGATGGAGATGCACCACCAGCAACATCCTGGACACTCCACACATTTGTGTTATGCATCTTAACCCAAGAGGCAAGTTTATTGTATATAGCTGAACAAGGAGGCAGGTTTAGCTTAGAGAGGAGCCTCTGCAGGGGAGCAATCTCAGGTTGTAGTCAGCCAAGAAGAGGAAATTGTGGTCGATCGTTTCCATATACACTGGCTTTAGCTGAGGGATCATTTCTGCATACACTGGTTTTAGTTAATATCTGTACTTGGACCCACAGATGACTTTGCCATTTCCCTGGGCCTCACCTGAGAAAGGCTTTGCCATTTGCCATAGGTCTGAGGCACAGGGGTCCTTGACATGTCTGTGTACATGTCAACAATACACATTCACTCAGGACTTCATTTGCATCCCACAGGGTTGCAGTGTGCTGAGGGGGGAATGTGTGGAGGAAGAGAACCAATCGTGAAGTGAAACTGACTGGTGTCTGTGACAGGGGACAGGCAGGCCTGCAGGCCATGTCTTACCCTTCCCATCATTTCTCAATCTTACCTTCTTCCCTAACTCTTGGTTCTGGTCCTGGCTTCCCCCAGGCCTGTGTGTGAGCATATGATATTTAAGCCTTTGATCCCACAGAACCACCAATGCAGCACCATCAGGGTGACCACAAGGGACATCAGGTCTTTTAGGCCAGGACTGGAGATCTTCAGTGTTTCAGGCCCAGACTTGTGTGAAATCTGGTTTGAAATGTGAACCATATTTCCAGGAAAATTGAAAATGCTTAGCAAAAGACTCCAGAGGGCTCAGTCAGTCCCCTCAAAGCCTATCTGCGGGTCTCTGGATTTCCAATTAAAGGCTCAGGAAGAAATGAAAAAAAAAAATGAGAACCAATATCTGACCCCCCACACACAATGTATGTTCTTTACTTCTCTTTTTAAAGCCCTATAATAACCCCACCCATAATTGGGCCACCCCTGAAATCAAGAGAAACAGGAGGAAGTGTACACCCAGATGACAGCCCCCAGTGACACTGGCCTCACTTGGAGGGTCTATTTCCATATTATTATAGCAATTCTCAGGCTGCAGGCTACAATTTTCAGTTGAGGTGAAGTATTAAATTGAAATTACCCCACATGTAATGGGCATACAAAATAATCCTGGATACATGGAAGCAAATGCTTTTTCAGGGTGGGGCTTCATTTCTCATACTGAGGCTTTAGGGCTCTGTCTCTTTAAGTATTGGGAGAGGGAGGGGGCAGAGGGCAGGTGGGGCAGCAGTTAGAAGAACTCACCTCTGAGGCTGCCAGTCCCGAAGTAAATATGATTAAGACTTCTGTTGGCTTGACTGCTCTCTGCCCAGGGGCTTGAGTAGGAAGGCTGGAAGGTCCCAGAATTTAGCAGAGCTCAAGACTTGGAGTTTTGTTCCTGCAACTGTTAGGAAACACTGTCCTTGAACTCAGGAATGTGTAAATGACAATTCTCATTTCTGTTTAGGCTCTAAGCCTGGTTTCCCTGCCAGGTGGTGGACATTTAGTTTCGGTCATTCTCAGATGGTGCCCGTGGTCCCAGGCTCTTCTGTTTTGCTCTCAAAGGTCTTATAACCTGCTTTTGCTTGCCAGATGTTCACTGCTGGTGTACTGTACAGACCTTCCTCCCACCAGCATCATCATCACCTTCCACAACGAGGCGCGTTCCACTCTGCTCAGAACCATCCGCAGGTAAGGCATCTTCCTGTGTGGGGGCTATCACTCAGCCTGCTCCTTGTCAGGTTGTGTCTGCCCACATGTCCTGCAGGCATGTACCAGGTACTGCTCTATACATCACATGCTTCCACTCGGCCATTCCTCACATGCTGATGAGAGAGGCCATCATCCTATTTTTAAAGAGAAAGACAGATGCCAACGGTGCCTGGCAATTTGCAGACATTCAGAGATAAAGCATGGGAACGAATAGCAGACCCTTTGGCCATCCATGCTAGGCTGTCTAAAGAGCGTGGACTGGCATGGTCACAACTGATGAAGGATGCTCAGATAGTCAGGTTGCTCATTTCATCCCCAGCCTCTGGCTAGGATCAGGACTTGAACGTGCCCTGGGCTGCTCATCTTGTGCTGCAACTTTCTGAGGCTGAGACAATGATGGGATGTGTGGGAACGCTGTGGGCAGTCATTAATGAATGCTTTCTGGGCATCTACATTCAGCTCCACTCCTGCTTCCCTTCCGCCTACCTGACACCTTGACATTTAGTCATGCTCCTGCTAGGAGAGGTCCGTTGTGACTAAGATGGCCTGTGGCCTGCCTAGCTTTTCCATATGCTCAAGTCTCAGTGCCAGCCACAAGCAACTGGCCCTAGGACATGGAGCAGAGACCTGACTGGGAATTGTGCCCTTGGGTTCTTAGGAGACTCTGGCAGGTTTGGGTCACCATTCTCTGGAATGACACCCCTTTCCTCTCCCTGACCCTATTCCCCTCGTATCCAGGTCAGCTACCTCATTCTCCCTTCCTCAGTTTCCCAAAAGTAGCCCCCCTGTCCTAGTAAGGTCAGACAGTAAGGACAGACATGGGTTCCTGCCCTCAGCTGGGTGGTAAGTAGGTCAAAAGAGAGAATCGAGACTTGCCAAGGTCATGTAGTCCAGTACTAGGATTCTGGCCCATGTCTTCTCACCTGCCTGATCCAGGAAGAGAAGTCACAAGGGAGGGTTCAGCACTGCTGGCATGGGATACAGTCAGAGCTTCCAGCACAGAGTCCAGCCTCACCAGTGAAACTTCTTGTTTGTTTTTGTCAACTTAACTCAAGCGAGAGTCATTTGGGAAGAGAAACTTCAACTGAGAAAACACCTCCATCAGATTGCATGTAGGCAAGTCTGTGGGGACATTTTTTAAAATTAATGATTGATATGGGAAGGCCCAGATCACTGTGGGCAATGTATCACTGGGTAGTAAGAAAGCAGGCTGAGCAAGCCATAAGAATCAAGCCAATAAGATTCACCCCTGCATGGCCTCTGCATCAATTCCTGACTCTAGGTGCCTGTTCTGACTTCCCTTCAGTGACAGAATGGGTCCTGAGAGTTATAAGTTATATTAAAGATTTTCCACCCCATAGTAATAGAAACCCTAACTGTGGCACTTCATGTCCCAAAGACACCCAGTTTATTAGGCAGCATGTGTGAAGGTCATCTGATGCACAGGGGTGGGGGGGGAATGAGATTAAACATGGATGGGCCATCAAGAGTATGACACACCGCAGACCTCCCTCTCATCATCTCCAAAAGACAAGTCACACTGTCCCCATTCTTCCTGTGTGCTTTGGCAGTGGGGGGATTCTGGGTAGACGGAAGCAAGCTCAGCAGCAGGCTCACTCCAAGGGGATATACCACATCTTATGTCCACCTGTCACTAAATGTTGAATGTCTACAGTGTGGGGTCAGTGCTTCCCTTACAGGACAGGACTCACCCATGTGTCAGAAAGCAATTTCTCCTGCAGCCCATGTCTTTGGTACCTGATGGCTGGCTGTATCCTCTAGCCACCAACCCTGTCCTAGCATCTATACTCAACCACACAAGTCATTCAATTCACACACACTGTTGTGTGTCATTTCCCAACAAGACAACAGTACACACACACACACACACACACACACACACACACACACACACACACACACACGCACACACGTTACAGGTCACTACCAGTGTCAGGGTCAACAGTGAAGTACCTTGCTGGTTTGCAAATCAGTGTAGGAATGTGGAGAGGACAAGGAAAAGGGCGATTTCTGTGAGGACCTCATTGGTATCACAGGGGTGCTCTTGCTTCTTGGTCGAGAGCTGAGAGATGGAAAAGCACAGCCCCAGACAAGCATGAAAGGATGGACACTGAGAAATGAGAGAATCACAACCTTGATGAATGGGGACTTTCTCAGAGGAAAGAAAGCAAGCCCTGAAAAATTCACCATGGCCAGTGGTGGAGTAAATCCTTACAGGGTGTGAGGCTCATCTTGTCTGTTCTATTCTTCTTGGAGCAACTGTCAACCCTTGACCTCCCATGGGGTCCAGGAACATGCAATGGTCCATGACTTTATATCCCAACTCTTTTCACTCATTGGTAAGTTCCTAGACCTAAGGAGGCACTTTCCAGGTGAAGGTGGTTAAGAATTCGAACTCTGGAACCATATTTGCCTAGCTCTGTGACCCTGGGCAAAGTTCTGAACCTCTCTGCCGAAGTTTTCCATTCTTCCAAACAGAAACTGTGATTACTTCTAATGCCTGGCATGAGCTCAGTGAAGAGTAAGTGCAGGTAGGTTTAACAGTCAGGGCTCTCTACAGCACAGAACCAGTGACATCTATGATTATAAAAAGGCATTTACTAAACTAATTCACAAGATCAGGGCCTGATAGTCTAACCATAGCAGTCTGCCAGAGCTGGAGAACCAGAAAAACAGTACAAAAAATGGAAGCCTCAAAATGGGGGTGAGGCGTGGGGGGGGGCAGAAAGTGTCTCAGACAGTAAAGGCCCTTGACACTAAATCTGGAATTGGAGTTCAACCCCTGGGCCCCACATGGTGGAAGGACAGAACCAACTACTGGAAGTTTTTCTTTGACTTCCATATAAGGGCCATGGTATGTGCACATGCACAACATACACGTGAATGAATGAATGAATGAATGAATGAATGAATATAATAGAATTAAGAGGAGTCCAATGGCACAGCCCCAGACTAAGACTGAAGTCCCTGAAGCTCCCTGGAGACAGACATATTGGTATAAGTACAATTTTAAAGACTGAGATGCGGGCACTTGATGTTCATGGGTAGTCATGGAATGGGCACCCACTCAAGGAGGATGAGGCTTTACCCTGGTGGGCGTCTTCCTCCCTGTTTTTTGTGCTGTCTGAACCTCGGCCCAATGTATGGTACTTTATACATATGGTTGAGTCTTCCCTCTTCAGCTGGATGATACACATGGCAATCTTTCTGGAAATGGACACACTCAGAATATGCTTTACTAATTTGGAGGTGTCTCTTAATCCCTCCAAAGTGCCCATCAAGATTAATCACAGGAAGCAAACGGCTGGGACCTACTGCTGGCACAGGGAAAGCAGCGATGTGACTGAGTCTCCAGCCCTGATAGATAACAGTGTTCTGATGTGGTGGCTCTCCAACATGAGAAGATGCCAGATTCTCTTGGAGGGCTTGCTAGAACATGCCTTCTTGGGCTCTAGCCTCATCGATTCTGAGTCAGTGAGTCTGGAATGTGGCCTGAGAATTTGCATTTCTGACAAGTCCCCAGGCTGTGACAATGTTGCTGGCTTGGGGCTCAGACTTGGAGAATCAGAATTGTGCATCATTTCTGTTGCTGTTAGTAGCTCCAATAGTCTTATCACCGGTGCCCACATACTAAGAGCAACTGTCATGTGCCAGGCATGGTGCTAAGCGATGCTCACGAAGCCAGCCAAAGAAACCATGGTACTTGGAGGCTTGGTATGACTGGAGCCTTCCTGCTGGCAAGTGGAGGCTGCACAGATGTGTGCTTGTATGCAAATCTGTTTCCCTCCAGAATGACTACGCTCAACTGCTCAACTGTCAGCTGCCCCAGGTCTTCATTCACCTGGTGTTTGTGGAGCATTTGATAAGACCTGTCTGCATACGGCACTGTGGAGTTCACGAGGCAATTTCAAATACATTTCCTCGATTCAAACACACAAAAGCCTGTGAAGTAGGTCAAGTATTAATATCACCTGCTTTTACAAGGGAAAGGTAATTACAGAAGGAACGGAGGCTGGGAGCCGACTTACTCAGGACTACACAGCAAGCACCATTGCAGGGCTTACTTGGCCTGAGAGTCTGCATTCCCCAAACTACCCTGACGTGTCTTGGGGCCCCACATGGACCCCAATTAGATCACAGAAAGCAGTGGAGTGGGAGAAGCCATAGAGTGTACCTGTGTGATTGCACAGAGGAGACAGATCCAAAATGATTCCTTGGACAGTGTGGCCCATACATGCCGATGTGAGGAACACTTTGCCGCATTCTGTGGTTGCATGAAGAAAGACTTGTGGCAGTGGAAGTATGGGCATCTAGGATGGAGTGAAGCATGGCAAACTGAGTCCTGTGGAAACAGGAGGATTTACTCTGCTGAGGGTGCGGGGGCTGCTGGGAAGCCTGGATTGTCGAAACTGGGAGGTGGATGGAGGGCAGGAGATGACAGCAATCAGGGTTTAGATGGCAGGAATTGGGGGATGGGGTGCTAAAAGGAGGTCAAGAACCTTTGGCTGCACTTCACCTTCTCCTTCTCCAGTCACTTCAGGTGCCCAGAGTGCCTGCCCATCTCGGGTGCCCCCAGCCTAGATGTACTTTTAGGGGAGACCCACCATCCCTTCCATCGCTCTGAGGACAGGAGCACAAGCAAGCCAGGTGTTAGCAGGAAATGG